CTAGCTTCTTACCAAGCCTTTTGGTAAGATCCATGTCCTTCTATTGTTGTTTGTACAACTGATACAACTACAATTTGGAGAACTGCCTTGCTCAGCTCGATAGTTTTGCCCTCCATCCAATCCCCTTTTAAACCCAATCATTTTATGAACATTATTCCGTTTAATGGTAATGAAGGATACCTTGTTTCCTGAATTTATTTTAATTTCCTGCCTGAGCAAAATCAGCATGGCCTATCTCTAGCTTACATATTCCCTTCAGGAAATAAAAATATTAATGGATGCAATTTCTACATCATCCTTAAGCCTCTCTTTCGCTTCATTATTATTTAACAGTCCACCCATTTTCCTGATTGGGTTTCTTCTTGAAATTATAAGTTTCTCATTGTTTCCTTCTTTTTTGGCCATATGCTTCTTGTTTTGCATTCCACTGTGACAATTTTCTGTCAATGCTTTGTTCTTCTTGTTAGGATTGATTTTCTTGGGGAAGGGCTTAACATTTATAATCTCTTTAAGAATACTTGAGAGCTAGGTCTCTTACAAACTTAACATCCTTTCTTACACTGTGGAATACCTTCCAACTGACCTTGTGTTACTGTGGTTTTCAGTAACTTCCAGACAATCTAAAAATTTGGCCTTTTTTCAATCATTTTTAAAAAGTCTTTTCTGACATAAATGTGACTGTGTTGGACTCTGCTAGCATTTTCTCTTGAAAATAAGCTAAAATGTAATAGCATTATGCAGTTGCAATTCCACAATTTTTACATCTCAGATGATAGATAATTCATCTATTGATCTACAGTAATGTATATTTGTCACTGGGTATTATGTTGATATCATACTCTTTTATAAATAGGAACAAATCTGTCCGTGTGTCTTTCTGTCTCAGAATGGGACAACTTGCCACGACCAACTAACTGTGACTAACTTGCTGTGGGGCAACATGCCACGGTCAACTCACTACGGGACAATCAACCATTCAATTAAATTATTTAAAATAATTTTAAAAAATATTTTAATTTTTATTATTCATATTTCGTTTTGTTTCTCCTTCTGCATCCTTTCTTTAATGATTCTATTCCATTTCTTCTATATTAGTGTAACTCTTGTCCTGTGGCAAGTTGTCCCGCAGCGAGTTGGTAGCACCAAGATCCTCTCTGTCCTTTCCATTGTTTAAAATGATGGACACAGAGTAGAAAACACTAAGAACGGGGGTGTCAAACTGCCGGCCCGTGGGCTGGATGCGTCATGCGGAAGCCGCGCCCACCCCATTGCCGGCAATGGCAAAACACTCCCGATATATTGTGCGATGTCATGTGACGTCGCGAGTTTAACATGTCTGACTAAGATCAACACTAAATTGATAATGGAGCTCACATGGTAACAGTTATTTGGTGCAGTAATTATCTCTAACTAACCACCATTTACAGGGCTGTCACTATTAGGATAAAATAAGGGAACATGTAGAAGAATCAGTCACTAGCCAATGAAATGCAAGATATAATGTATAAATATGGCAGTAACGTGTTTTTCAGAGAAAGGGGAATATAAGGTAAGAACAAACTGAAATAAAGGACCATACATACAAAACTGAGAGACACAAATCTTCTGATTTATCTATCCCAACATATGTTTTAACAACATGTACCCACCAAATACCTATCCAAAGTACCACAAAAATAACTGTTGTAGAAAGACAATCTAGAGCAAGAGACAAGCACACTTCCTATTTTGACCAAACTATAATCTCAGATCTTAGCCATAATCAAAACTACTATCTGGGAGGTATGCCCCCACAAACTCAAATGGAATTAATTTATGCAGATCCCAAAGGTGCTTTTTCACGAGGCAACAGTACTTTGTTTTTCTTTGAAGGCATTTCGCTTCTCATCCAAGAAGTTTCTTCACTATACCATCACCAACAAGCAACTACCAAACGATCAAACTATAGGCTAATTGTGTTTATAACTGCCAATTTCCAGATTCATCCCAAATTGAGGAGGAAGAATTAACTTTCCCTTGCTATCTTGATTTTGAAAGAGGAAAAAAAAAAAACACAAGTGTTTTCTGAACCAGGTTTTTTCATTATTGATTCTGGCTCTGACTTCCAAACACTGGGCTGGACTCCTCTACATTAATTAAAAATATAGGAAGGCACATGAATACTTCTCAAAACATAAACACACATGCAATATTTTTTTAAGTCTTGAAATTATTAGAAAGCACTGTAAACTAAAATACACAATTTAAAGAGGCTATGTGAATATCTCAGTTCTATCCTGAAGATATGCCAACTAAAATATTTCCTTGGAAAAGGGTGATTGTTAAGAAAACCCAGCTTGCAAAATGCTGTGTAATTCCCTTTAAAGAGAAGAATTGACATCCATTCCTCTATGCTGCATAAATGTGAGGATAACAATAAAAAAGAGGTTGTAAGGACAGAGAGCAATATAAAATAACTATAGGATTTCTTTAGAGCCCTGGAATTAAATGCACCCCCCTAGACAGTGTCACTGGCAAGCTAGTGTATACAGTGACTCTTTTGCATCAGATTAAAATGTTTGTATCTTGTGAAAGATGTTTACATACAGAATGAAATAAAAACATAAGGGAATGTTACAATGAATTGGAAATAAAATTATTTACTAATCTGAGAATATATATTTTTAAAAACTTACTTGAGGTATTTCAACTTAGGTGAAATTATATTAAAGAGTGATATTAACCATCATTACCACTACTTACTTGGATTACTGCAATGCAACCTATATAGGGATGACTCTGAAGACTGCTCAGAAACTGCAACTGATATAAAATGTATCAGGTCCTAGCTTAGCAAATCAAATTATCTATATTCTTACAACATCTGTTCTATAGTCACCACAGTGGTTACCAATATTTCCTGGTGCAATTCAAAGTGATGGCTTTAACATATAACCATGGCAGCAAGGAAGAACCATCTTCACACAGAAGTAACCTACCTAATTTACCCTTTGCACACATTCTTCCACCATCTTTTAATGATGCCTCAAATACATGAAGAGACAAGAGTGCAGGTAACATTTTTGCTTAGAACCCTCATATTCCAGTCTTCTTCTGGAAATTAGGCTGATGCCTTCTTTGGCAGCCTTCTGGAAGCTATTAAAGACAAACCTTTTCTGAAGTGTCATTGAGTAATGAATTGCAACCTCTGTGCCTAATGTATTATGGTAGATTTGTGTTTTATTTAGATATCAGGTTTTTACCCTATGTTTTCATGATGTAAGCTGCCTTACGTTGCTTTCTCAGTCCAGGGGATACAAATGCAATAAATTATTAAAGAAATATTAACCCTTATAAAGTTAAGGAGCCATGAAAATCACTATGGAATTATTACTTATTTGCTGTAAGATGCAGTTTCAGTATAGCCTACTAATGCTATTAGAGCTATTCAAGAATAAATGGATTGTAAACACTCTCTTACTTCAGTAAAAAGGATTAGTTTAATTAATATGGCTTTATAGAATGCTTCCAATTTTAATTGTATTTTTCATGCAAAAACCTAGTCTTTTCTGAAATTTTCATAAAAGATTGCTAGAACAGCTCAGTAAATACTATTTTTCTTATACATACATATTATTCACAAAATATGAAATTCAATGTTTAAGTAGATCACATGTAATAGGTTGAAGTGCATGGTTGTTTGGTAAATCACCACTGTCAATTCCTGACTCCATATTAATGACAATCTAGGTAGAATTTCTTTAATTGACAGCATGTAATGCTTTATTTTGTTAGCATTAACATATAATGGATCCTGTTCTTGTTTTATTTAACCAAAAGGTTTGTAAATGTACAATATTGCAAATTAGACCACAATAAAGTGCATCTAAAGTTGTATTTCTTTTTTAAAAAGCCATGGCCTTTTGATATAGCAACATTCTTAATTAAGATACATTGCTTAGTTGGGTATGAACTTGTCCTGCAATCATCCCATAATTTTAATTTTAAATAGCATTTGACTACAAAGCATACAATGTAAAAAATCAATTTATCACAGCTGTATTAACAGAATTTTGACGACTTATCATGTTCTAGGTCAAGGTTGTAAATATGAAATTTTGAATATTTTTGGTCATTACTTTTGAAAAACTTGTAAATAGTAAATTTATTTAAATAATGGAGCATTTGCATGATATATGTTACCAGAAATAACTGTGCTCAGACTGAGGAAGTGCTTTGCTTTAAATAATAAAATGACAGTTATCGTTTTTATATTTTTATGTCTGCCAGTTAACCCAAAATACATATAAAATGTAGAATTTTATTTGCTGTACACCTGATATAGAAATATAATACTAGCAGCTGATTTCCCAAAGTTTTTTTTTAAAAATCCAACCATTTTCTTTTACACTACATAGAAAAAAAAATTAAAATTAAACATTTCACTGACATTATTTTGCTGTATTTTCTTACTTTGGTAATGTCAGCTAAATTGCACCAACTTTTAAGATCTGATTGCAATATAATAGCTGACTTAAATTTGCAACAGTAAAGGGATATACACTTTCCGCTACCCACAGTCTAAATAATATAGTTACAATGCCTTTCACAAATAGAATGTATTCATGTTGGTTTGGTTTTGAACCTCCAGGAAAAAAAAATCAAGCATCAAATGAAATGGTTCTTCTCCTCTCAAAAGTTTAAAACAACATACCGACACAAAGTTATTTCAATGTGAATTTTTGGACCTCCCTTAATTGCCCAGATAATCTATCCCAACTGCTTAACATACATTATTTTATTATGCTAATCTGTTTGGACATGACAATGTTTAATCAAGCATTTAGGCCACAGTGGAAACGTATGCAACTCTTATTCATGAAATGTCTGTAGCAAAACTACTCTTCATATTAAGTGCCACAATCATCTTATAGCTTTGCATTTTTAATACTTCAACTTTTTATATATTTTCATTGTTGAAGAAATGATATCACAATTTCAAATCAAAGTCAACACTGCAGTGAGGAGAGCTTTTCTACTTTATTACAAAGAGAAGAAGCCTTTATGTGGTCAGAAAATACAAGATTGATCTTTTTTTTTTTCTCTTCCTATGAAACGCTGCTGTTCAAACAGCCAGAGTGAATTGTCTCAGTTCACTTCGTTAAGTCCCATCACATTCACTTGGGTATGGATGTCCTTGGCTGCTGAAATCTGGCCCTTTAGTGCACAGGGCGACATAGACGTCCCCTGACCAGCAGTTCCAGAATGTCCCGTTTTCATATATTGCATCCATGCACACCTCCTAAAAATGAGGTACAGCAGGGCAAACATTTTCCAAAATAGATGTCATATATATAATATATACACATTCGTACATACATACCTTTATTCATGTGATGTCCAAAAATTTAAAAAAAATGTACACATTTATTACAAAATCGTAACAAAGACTGGACAGTGTTTTGCTCATTCTGGAAAGATGAAGCTCAGTTAACACACAACTTTGGAAATGAACCATAAGTTGTGGCAATATCTTTCTTCTAAACAGATATTCTTGCATTAAGTTGGCGAAAACTGCCTTTTCAAAAACTGAAGGGGAAGTAAAATGAAGGAAGCAGGCCTTGCTCATCTTTCCAAATGAAATACGAGAAGGATCTTCACATAAAAATGCACAAACATTTTTTTTTTATTACCAAGAGTGCTACAATGAACAATGCAAATTTTATTGTCTATTTTGTTTCTTTTTTCCTTTTTTTACATTTTGGAAACTAGTAAACTTTTGTCAGTGTACTTGCTTGTCTTTACAGACCCAAGCTTGTCTGCTGGCAAAAAAATAATAATAATAATATAAAAAAAAAATCCGACCCTGCACAAACTAAAGGAAAACAAATTATAAATTTAGTTGTTGGGCAGCACATAATTAGTAAGGCAGGACTTCAAATGGTGACCCTTTTGCATGAACCAATTGCCAGATCCTCGAAAGGAATTAAAACCGGGATGCCTGAGCCACTTCAGTTTTGCAGTTATGTTGAGTATTGTGCTGAGACAGCCATACCCCAAGACAAGAGGGAAGTCTTCAGAAGGCTTGCTGAGCAGGGTTGTAGTTGAAAGTGGATGGCAGATGAGGCCGTTCTTCTAGTTTATCATATTCCAGATGGAACTCCTACAAACCCAAAAAAAGACAATTATTCTACTATCAGCCAACAGGTCATTAGAATGAATGATTTTGCACATTTAACCAAAAGAAAACACTGTTTCTTTCAAATAAATAAAATAAACTTCCCTTTAGGACAGCCTTTTAGAAATTAAATTTAATTTTAAAAAGTCACCATTTTCCAAAGTTTGCAATATATCTTACATTTATTTTATACCAACTATATGAGATCTAACTGCAGCTAGATTAAGTTTTTAAAAATGAAGAATTCAAATAGGAAAGATTCATGTTAGTATTGTCAAAATACAATTCTGTAAGAATGCATTTGTTTCCTGTCAGATTTTCTGATTTTCTGCATATTTTTGCCAATGAATGTTATCAGAATTTAATGTGGGTCCTATAAAGAAGTAAATGTTTGGAGCTTATTTTAAGAACAAGACAATCCAACATGATATGTGGCAGTATGAAAAGTAATCACACCCTTATATTAACTAACTGGTTATACCACCTTTAGCTGTAAATATTACTTCCTGCAATTGGTGATCAGTCTCTCACATCACTATATTCTATTGGCCTGCTTTTTATTTTTTTTCAAATAGAGAAATATTTTAAATTAGTGACATGAGAGTTTTCTAGCATGAAGTCCCGTTTCAGATTGTGTCACAGTATTTTGTGTTTGTGCACGCACTTGCCCACCACTTGCATGAGTGGAGCTCTGCATGCATGCTTGCCCATTTCTCCCGAAGCCTGGTTTCAAACAGGGCACGCTCGGTAATGGGCCACAGCCCAGGGGTTGGGGACTCCTGTTTTACATGACCCACCAATGGACAGAATTCTTTGTGGAATTCTGACCAAATTTTAAGCTTTCTATAATAATGATAAATTCTTAAAATTCTGAGGCAGTAAAACATACTCAAACCATGGCAGGTCCACTTCCATGCTTGACAGCTGTGATATTTTTATTATAGAATACAGTATTTCATTTCTGCAAAGTGTAACTGAATTGACTGAACCAGGGAGGCAATTATTTTTCATATTTGCAATGCATATCGGATTATGTTATTTATGAAATAAAAAAAATCAATAGCAAACAACCTTTACTTAACAATAATCCCCCCATGAAGCTTGGATAATATTTAGCAGCAAAGATTTATAAAATCCAAGATGGATGATTATTTTCTCACAGAATTGTATTTATAAGTCCAATCAACACTTTTAAAAATACCTAGAAAGAAAACAATCAATAAAAATATTAATTGCTAGAAATTAGACAGAAGATGATGCTTTCTGAATGCAAACATTTCTCTCTTTACTTCGGAATCAGGGATGAATTTCAATAGTAGATAATATCTGTAGCTTAGGGTTGAACTGTGGAGTCCTTGCTGAAAGCTGATTGGCTCTGGTAAGATTTATTTTTGAAAAAATCTCTGGTTCATGAAAAAGAATTCCTCCTCATGTTCAGTGACTCTTGTGATAGATCAGTCAACAAGTAGTGAATGGTACATATTCTGCAAGTAACTATTTGCAGTATTGTTTTTACACATTCGTTATGCAAAGAACAAAATCAATTCCATCTTTTCTCCCTAAAAGTACTGTAAAACATTTATCTTGAGTTATACTTGAAGAAGCAGAAAAAGGTGCTAAATTATAGTTGAATATGCCCTATTAAGAGGCATATCTCTGAATGGTAATTAAGTAAAATGGTTTTCACTATTAGGTTGTTTCAAGAATATTACTAATTTTTTCCCATTGACAATACTACATTTTTATTACTTACAATAAGGACAATTTATTCATTTTATTAGCACAACTTATATGCCTCTCTATTTCCAGAAACTGAAGTAAGTAATAAAATTAAAAACAGAATTAAATTGATCCAATTACAATAATTCAATCCAATTGATCATTATTTAGGAGTAGTGTGATCTTATTAATTTCCAAATTGTTCTCAAAGAGCCATGTTTTTTACAATTCTCCAAAAATGTAGTAAGGAAGCAGTGGACCAGTATTCCTTAGAAGAAAGGAGGACTTCATCAAGAAGGCTGAAATCCAAAGTCCCTGAAGATGGCATTCTCTTTCTCCCAGATATTGCCAGAACAGCAAATTCAGTTCAGAGATATCCTAGGCCCTAAGCCAGTGGTGGCGAACCTATGGCACGGGTGCCAGAGGCGGCACTCAGAGCCCTCTCTGTGGGCACGCGCACCGTTGCCCCAGTCCTAGGCCTTCAGCTGGGTTTTATAAAACCTTTTCGCTTTAGGCCTTCGCCACCATGTGCAAAAAAAAAAGGTTCAATCAATCAGTCAATTTCAACTTCTTGCAGGGGAAAAAAAGATCTTGCAAAATTGGAATTGATTGAACTTTTTAGTCCCACCCACTCTGCCGTTACCACCGCAGCCACGCCCACCCAATGAGTCACACCCAGCCAATGGGCACCCGACAATGCATAAGTGGGTTTTGGGTTGCAGTTTGGGCACTCGGTCTCTAAAAGGTTCACCATCACTGGCCTAAGCAATGTAAGGCTTTGTGACAATTCAGCATATTAACTTTCATCCAGAAAGTAACCAATAGCAACACAGCTTCCACAATACTGCTGTGGCATGGACACTCATAACTACCTAATCCAAACTGTTTTCAAGATAGCTCCATCTACAGTTAATTATAATAATCCAGCTGGTGACAAAGTGGCAAGAACATGAGGATGTCATGGTTCTGACTAATGGAACACTTCAAAGAACTTCCAGGCATTGTTTATCCTAAAAAGTCTTTAATCATGTAAATACAGTGTTGGCAGGGCATGTGGAGGATGCCAAGATCTGAATTCCCCTCCCCTGCACATAACATTCCAGCCTATTCCCCTCCTCTATTTTGCAGTCATAAATCATGTTCTTCAATCAGCCCAAAGGGCAAAGGTTCACTTCCTTCTGTAGCCAGTATTCCTTATCTTAATTACTCCCCACATACATTCTTTCTCCTCCCCTCTCAGCATCATCTAAGTTAACTCTAAAAATACCAGACAGTTCTGCATATTTTGTCAAAGCAAGAATATCCAATATTAGCAGTGTTGACAGAGTGGCTACAAAAACTACTAATCGAGGAGAGACCACAATTAGTAAACAAGATAAAAATGTGCAGTTTCTCCTGGCCATAAAATCCATATGTTCCAACTAGAAGTTATGACTCCAAGAGGACCACCAACTTGCAGGCCAGTTCTATCAAAGGCAATCCAGAATAAAAAATGAACTATTTCTATATTCTGTCAGTTTCAGTCATAACCATTCTCTCTTTGTAGGATTTAGTCAAAGACTATTTTTCCTCCTATTTTTCCCCTAACAATCCTCAAGCACTGAGTCAGAGCCTTTGGTCACTACATCTCTTGCCTGGCTGAGGTGGAGACACATAATGGCATATTATCAATATCAATTTATAACTTTTTTGAAATGCATTTTTTGTTGTTATTCTGTCTCTCACTGTTAAAATAAACCTACCATTAAAATTATAGACTGATCAATTCTTTGTCAGTGGGCAAACGTACAAAATCAGCAGGGGATCAAATTTCCCCCCCCCTCACTGTAGGAAGGAGAAGGGCATGATAAATGATACCAAAAGCTGCTGAGAGGCCCATCAAGGCAAGTCAAATCCCTCTATCCTGATCCCACCAAAGGCAATCAATGAGAGTAAGCAATATGGTTTCAATCTCACATGGCAGTCTGGCTTGAATCCTGACTGAAAGAATCCTGACTGAAATTAGTTGATTTGATATAGCCAGGTTCTTCGTAACTATGGTTCAACCACTTCTAATAAATGTCTCTAAAAAGAGAATGGCCAATGGTGGTCTAAAATTGCTAGGTCGAGCTATGGTTTCTTGAGATATCATCCCCTCTTTCAAGTTGAAGGCACCACTCCTTCACTCAAGGATGCATTTACCCAGCATTTTCTCACCTTCCTACATACAGCAAGAAACTAATCTATAGATGGAAGCTAATACCACAGAGGATCCTCTTTACTTCTTCAGGGCTCACAGGTGCAAATCAATCCCTGATAACTTCACAACACAAAGCTTCTATTACCTCAGCTGAATCTGCTCATCCAGTATCTGTTTAATTTTAAGAAAAACCCAAAGCAAATTGAAAACAAAAAAACAAGCTTCATTTACTAGGGAGTCATGACACGTTTCTGACCCATAGAAATAAAAGATCAGTTACAGTTGAAATAAAACACAATTAATGGAAACTCACCCAAGGCAACTGACATTAAATAAATTTAAAACATTTTTCTTCTACCATATATACACCTTCATTCACCTGGTACCAATTTTTAAGTCTCAATAAATAGAGAAGCCCGTTGAATAGCAGTAATATTTTGCAATTATCCATGTATTTTCTAAACTTCAAGCAAGTTTACTAATCCAAAAGATTTCATACTCCCGAATAAGAATTTGTAATGAAAAAACCCTATAGTAATAAAGAACATGTATTTTAAAGATCTATCTAAATATATATATATATACTAGCTGTACCCGGCCACGCGTTGCTGTGGCTCAGTCTGGTTAAATGGAAAAGAAAGAAAAGAGAAAGCACACGTTTGTGTCACAGGTGTGACATCTATATAATAGTAGGTATATAAAAACACGCGCATATTCGAATGCAACGTTGTGTCAAAATTTCAAAGCAATCGGTGAAGAACTTTCGGAGATTTAAGATTTTGAACAAATGAACATTTACATTTTTATTTATATAGAAGATATAGATATATATATATATATACCTTCGCTACTTTTCTCCAGTTAAGACAGTCAAAGAAATAGTATGTTCCTCTCTCATATGTATTGGTTTTCATTGTTGGCTCCATGCCTGGTGCTCTGGTAATCCATACTCTCTCTTCTTTGTGGTATCTCCAGTCTCGGTTAAATCTTTTGTCATCCAATCAGGAAAAAGAAGATTCTATTAGCTGGACTGATTTAAATTTGTTAAAAAGTAAAATTAGAATTAATAAAATACCTTTGCCTATACAACTATATTAAATATGTGCTTTTATGTGCACATAGCTTATAAAAATATTTTTATACTGTAATTTTCCTTGCAGCACATAACCTAAATTAAATGGTAGATTTATTGAAGGAAATATTTACATATTCAAAGTGGAGCTGCTTGCCTTACAGTATTTGGGAATTTTATAGAAAAAAGAAACACTTATCAAAACTGACCATTTATAAATAGAGAAGCCTGCTGAATAGCAGTCATTTTTTGCGATTATCCATAATAATCTTTTATAAACTCCAGGCATGTTTACTAATCTAAAAGATTCCATACTCCTGACATAAGAGTTCTGCACCATGTAAAGCATGAGAGAAGAAAGTCTACAACTGGAAGCTTTTTTTAAAAAAAAATTGAATAGTTGTTCCTTGAACTTCCCCTTCAGATGGCATAATACAGTTATTTGTTTTTAAAACAGAAGCTATTCATAATTTTAAAAACCATATATTTTCTTATAAAATTCACTAAAAAATGACATACAGCTCTACTGCTGCTAATAGTTGTAATACATCTCCTCCATTCATATAATAGAGATAAAAGAGTAGATCTTCCCCATAGCGACCAAGCTTTATTGCAGCCAACTGAAAAGGGAAAAAAAAGACTTTCAAAATCCAATGTAAGTTTTATTTATATTAATAATAGATGATTAACAAATAAAGATCTCAGAAATGAATTAATTCTTTGATGTTACACATATACATCCATGTAGTTGGTAAGAGACAGAATGGCTGCCAGAATTTTTAATTGGCTTCCCTAAATTTCCCCAAATGTTTATTCTGACACCTATATCCAGTAAGAATGGTAAACCAAACCAGGGATTCTCTGCCCATTAGCATTAATCCTAAACCAGATGTACTATTTCTCAATAAACCAGAATTATGACTATACATACAACTTAAAATTCTTGATAGTTAGGAGATTGAAACCAAACCTCTTAGTACTGATATAATGACAGACAAACCAATGGTAAAGACTTCCCAGTCTGTTTAGCTATTCTTCTGTCAGGCATAACTAAGTAGAGGTGACTAGCAGCCTCCATATTTGTATTATATTTGAACAGGATCTAAGAGAATGTGGATTATAAACCACTGTCCAAGTATACTGTATATTTTTCTTGTAGGACAATAATATAGTTATTAGAGTGTGAAGTATCCTACTATAATTTACCTATTTAGGAGAACTGAGTGAAGAATTAGGAAAAATTTACTTTAGAATTTGTTTTCTATCATATGCTTATAATTCTGTATTCTGTATGTAATTAGAATTCTGGCTTTTGATAAAATAAATCTTCTGCAAATAAAATTGTTTTGAGCACTCCATCAGACTGCCATTTTTTTTTACAATCATGCACATTCCCAAAACACAGTAACACTTTTTCAGAGGAAATACCAAAACTGTGCAATATATAGATTGATTATACTGTTAAAGTAGAATTTATTATGTTAATAAAAATGCCCATCTATCCTCCCGAAATATAAACTGAGAACTGTAGTGATTTTATTTAATAAAACTTTTAAAAAATGTAAAACTATTTATTAAGATATCTTATATTTTAAAGAAACTTTTCTAAAATATAAAATAAATGCATACTATAATGGAGAAATGTGTTTCAGAAGGAATAATAATATTTAGCAATTATATAGATTTTTTTAGCATTTTATATATCTTCATCTGAAAAATAGCTCATTAAATTAATATTACTGTAGAATGACACTTTATTCAAGCAATCTGATGTTAATACCACTATATATATAGATTGTCAAAAATATAACAGCCTGATAATTTTTCTTTAGTTCTATTGTATTCTGTTAAGGGACCATAAAGTATACTCACCTTATCCCTAATGTGAATATTTGTTAAGTATTCAGAAGGAACATGGAAGTCTGGATAAGGGAATGAGACGTGATTTAATTCTTAATCCATGATACTGATTTTCAAGAATATTAAGAGTATAGTAAGTTAAATATAGATATATTAATCAATCAACCTTACCTATGTCTTGAGGTCGACAGGGTGAAGAAGCCCAAGGTGATGCAAATTTGGGGTAAAGATTTCTGTACAGAAATAAAAGATACTTAACTGTGAACGATTATTCCTTCCCAAAATGCTGTTATTTCAAATACAAAAACAGAGGCTGGTTTGCACACCATCTAGCTTAAATAAATTATCTGGATCTAGATTAATACCAAGAATTAGATAATACAATAAAATAAACACAAAACATTGATTAGAAAAAGTGAGAAAACATTTAAAAATATCCAGTACTAGAAGAAATCTGTGATGATTTTAAACAATATAGGATATTATAGCAATATTTACATAACATTAAATTAGAACCTAATGCCCAGTATACAAAGATATGCCAACACGTCTTAATTATTTTCACTAATTTCTATATACTGTAATCCTCTCTTATCAATACTACCAATTTATTTATTAATAACAAGTAATTTTGTTAGATCCAAAGTAACAGCTGGTGATGCGGCAATGGCACAACAAGGTGAGGGACATGGCAGGCAGCAGGTGAGTGGATGCCCGCTAACAGGCACTGCCATGATGGATCTGAAATGACAGGTGCTCTTTAAATATAAGGACTCATTCTTGCTGGTAATTAGAATCTTTAATATTATTATTTGCAAACAAAATGAAGGTTTCCTATTTAGAATAATAAGCTGTCAGGTTAGTAAAACAGCGATATCAGAACCGAATTTAGGTTAATAGGTTAATCACACAAACCATGTTTCCCCAAAAATTAGACTTACCTTGAAAATAAGACCTACCCTGATTTTTGGGGGCGGGCCTAATTTAAGCCCTATCCCCAAAATAAGCCCTAGTTAAGACCTAGTCCACTCCGTCCCACCTCACTGCCACAATGGGGCAGGAGAGCGCATGTCACGCCGCTGCCGCCACAACAAGGCAAGGCAGGTGAGGGAGGAGGTGGAGCTGCCCCACACCCGCTTATTTCAGGGCCCCCCAGCCAGGTCACTCCTTGCTCGGCGACCTTCCCTTTCATTCCCCTCCCGAGCCAGACTACCATGCTACGGAGGTTGGGCGTGATAGGCCCGGTTCCCCTCCGCCATTTCGGAGCCAGGGGAGAGTGACGGAGAAAGGCTCTGCTGCCACTGTGTGCCACTGCAGGGGCTTTCTTTGCACTTCGCCCAACAGATCATCTGCCCAAAAGCAGCCTCCTACTCCTACTCCACCAACTCTCCCGTGGCCGGAGTTTGTGGGACTAAAAAAAGTTCAGTCAGACCTTCCAACTTCTCAGGAAAAAAAAAAAGATCTCGCGAGAAGTTGGAAGGTCTGACTGAACTTTTTTTAGTCCCACAAACTCCGTTTCCCTGCAGAAGGAGAGAAATGTGCCAGAGCTGTAAAGCAGGTTAGTTAAGAAATGCTTTCGGGAAGAGAGAGGAGCTGGGCAGTGGTGCACCAAACTCTACAGCAGCACAGGGAGAAGCAGCAGGAAATGGGGCTATTTCCAGAATGGAAAAAGGAGACATGGGGTGATGTGGGTGGCAAGCAAGTGCTCTTCTCTGCTCTGCATTGCTGCGCAGAGCCACTCTCCTCCCCGTTCTCTTTTCTCTCTAGTGGTGGCGATGGAGGGGTGGCGGAAGGAGGCGACAGGGGAGGTTTGCGCTGCCCAGTCACAGTGCAAGCCTTGGGAGAGTTGGTGGTGGTGGAGGAGGATGCCGCTGGGCAGATGATCTGTGGGGCGACACACGAAGAAAGCACAAAAAAATATAAGACATCCCCCCAAAATAAGACCTAATGACACTTTTGGAGGCAAAAATAATGTAAGACTGGGTCTTACTTTTGGGGAAACACGATAGTTGGAGAACTACTCAAATTCTTTTATTTAATTAAAACACTTAGAGCCTGGTACAGATGCATTTGTCTTCAAATCATACAATTTGTAGTGTACATAGATTTGCAAAACAATAGGATAAAAGAATATTCCTGAACTTTGTTTTATGATTTATCTCATGGTTACTGTGAAATTGTGTGAATGCATCAATGCAGTGCATGTTATCTCAGCTTGCAAAGCTTGGATTCATTGAACGAGTTTACAAAAAATGTAAATATTGCAGAATATATAGCCTCATGCTACATAATTAAGCTCCATTTCATGCTGAATAAACTAAATTATTAATGTATCTTAAATAGAAAACTATATTTAGATAGATGTTTACTCCAAAAGCATTTTATTAAAATAAATTTGATAAAAATAAAAAAAATCTGATTTAAATAAAAAAAATCATTTTATTTATTTTTTTAAAAATCATTGATTATTATTCACTGATAGGAATATGATATAAGACTGACTACTTTTCCATTCCAGAACAGCTTATTTAACTATATTAACTGTTTTTTCCATATACCAATATGATTAGGCAATCCATACTGTTATCTGATAAGTAATATGAAATTCAATGTAAACCAATAAAACAAATATTAAAACTAAATATGAAAGATGTAAGACTTTATAAAGTTTTTCTGCAATGCAAATAATCATAGACTATGCTGTCAACAACTGCAGAGATATATCATAAATTTGTGGTTTTTCTGATGTGTTAAATTATTTTTATGAATATTATTATTCCTGATTTATTAAAATCTTGTTGAATTACATATTAACATCCTGAAACTAACTGCATAAATGCATATTTTACAATAATTACATTTTTAGTTTACTTTAGTACATATTTTGGAAGTGTGGCTATTCAAAGATACTATAGCTAGTAATTTACATTAAATAATGATATTAATTTGAAAACACTTACTCGGGAGAATTGAGATTGAGACCTAAAGTTGTCAAGTCACTTCCTAATGCAAGATGTACCATGCCAGGGTCTGTCTCTGCTGCCCTGATGAATGTTAACAAACCAATCATTCCAAACTGGTCTGTCACCATCCCTTGTGGAATGTTGGTAACCCGACCTACAGAAACATAAATCAGAGTATTATCTAATAACAGAGAACCAGTGTCTTCTGAAACATTAGTAAAAAACAGCAGGTTTAACAAACATACCATCAGGTAACACCTGAATCCCCTTTTTCTGCTGGTTATTGTTTTGCGTTGTTGAACTTTTATCTCCCGGAAATTTTGGACCATCTGCACTAGAAGATGTTTTGCCTGATGTATTCAAATTCTTAAGTGGTATAAAGAAAAAAAAATCAATATAAAAATATTTTAAAAAATACATGACCAGCTAATTTAGTTATCTGGTGTTTACAAAAGAGCATCCTCCAAGAATTCTCTCCCTTACGTTTGTATAGACTTGTGAAGTGAGATCATCCATGTATCAATACATTATTAGTAACAAACAGCTTGTCCATTATGTACAATTCAAGCGAGACAGCAGATAAAAAATATTGTCTGGGATCACTACTGGTTTTAACGACAATAAACTTCAGTCCTCCCAATATTAAAGTTCTGTTCAGGTTTCTAATCTAGGTTCTGTGCAAAGCCATGCACAGCTAAGGTAGACATGCCAAACAGAAGAGACTATAGCTAACCCCTTTAAATTCTTAAGTATGATTGTGGACTCTGAAGACCTTAGATTTACATGGGTTATATCTATTAACAGTACTGTATTAGAACTTAAAATTGAGAAATATTAATATATTTATTTGACTTTGCAGACTCCAAAAGGGTCTTGGGGACCCCCAGAAGTCCCCAGTCCATACTAAGAGAATTGCTATCCTAAAGTATTTCTCTGAATGCTTCCCTTTAACCAGAAATGAAGCAAATGGAAATTGGGCAAATTTCCATTAGCAAATATAGCACTGCATTTGAAGAATGTTGTCCCTAATTTTGCTAATTACTTCTGTTATTTGATATGGATGGACAAGAAGGACTAGTTTGCTTTATTTATTTATTAATTTCCAATCATCATTATTTTTACAAATAACTCAAGGCGGCAAACACGTCCAACACACCTTCCTCCTCCTATTTTCTTCACAACAACCTTCTGAGGTGAGTTGGGCTGAGACAGAGTCAGCGGCCAAAGTCACCCAGCCGGCTCTAACTGCCTTCTTAAAGATAAAGATAAATACATAAATACATACATGTGTGTGCGCGTGCGTGTAAATTGTTCTCTCTTTAAATTAAGGCAAACTTACAGGTTTACTGTCATCATTACTTGATGTTGGATCTTTGTAGTTGGAGCCTGGTAATGCTGGAAAATCTTCATTGTGTATTGAAAAGTCCTGGGTTTGCTCATTTGCTGGTTTTGTTACCATCCCAACTATATTGGAAGATAAATACACCACACTGAATTATTTAAATTGTAATAGTTTTCATTTTCATTTTATTTCAATTGATTTGTATTATTTTATTATTATAGATTTTAATTTTCATGTTGAAAGTAAGCCTCAAAATATTTGTAAATTAAAAAGACAGAAATTGAGTAAATAAAAATGTACAATTTGATAGTTAAAGTTTTCACTAGCATATGATTTTACTTTAACAAATATAGAAAAAGTAATATCCATTTCAAACCTTATATTTGTATACAAATTCATTTATATAATGAATTTAGATGCATAGATTGACTATTTAGTTTTTTATTTCTTTGAGCAGTCAAAAACATTATTATAATCTTTAGCTATGAAGCTAACAAGATTATTTTTAAAGAAAAATATACAATTAATGTAAATGTATGAATTAGGTTTTAAAAAGCACTAGCAGTTAATTATTTTTCAAAATGGTTTTGTTATATTTGTTACATTTTTACTCAAATATATTCAAATCATTTGTAATATTCCAAATTGTACTAATGATTTATAATAACTAAATACAGGCATAAAACTGTAAGAAAATAAATAAATAGTTGGACTACTAAAACTAAGTATATCTAAGACCAAAGGTATAGTTTGTGCATGCATATGGGATATACAAGGTAGAGCTGGACAAAATGGCTATATTAGCCTAGTCCCCTTATGCTGAACCTTTGTAAATTCAGAGAACTGTGTGATTCTTATTCTGAAATTAGCTTGTTCCTTATTCTAAGTCTTTGCCTTCTGTTACTGTTCCTTGAGGAGAAAAAGAAAAACTATTTATATTTACCTTTTAGTATTTCATATGCTTTACAATAGGATCTTAATCTATTTTGGACTCCTACTTTTATCACCACTAGTCAATATAGCTATGGCATGATAACATCTAGATTTGACTCCTATTGTTTCTCTAACAAGTCCCTGTAATGTTTTTGGCACAATTTCAGAAGTGGTTTGCCATTGCCTCCTTCCTAGGGCTGAGAGAGAGTGACTGCCTCAAAGTCACTCAGCTGGTTTTGGGCCTAAGGTGGAAACAGAACTCAGTCTTCTGGTTTCTAGCCTTGTCCCTTAACTACTACACCAAATTAGTTTTCTAGGTGCTGGGGTCACCTTTAAAGCCCCACATGGCTTGGGGGTGAGTTACTTACCGAACCATTTCTTCTTTCTACGTGTCCTACATTCCAGAAGAAGAGACATGCTGTGGGCACCATCGGCCAAGGAGTGTCAGACAGCAAGATCTTGAAAAAGATCCTTTTATGCCATGGCATCTGACTCTGGAAAATCATTCCTTATGAGATTAAGTTGGCCTCCACCCTGCTGGCCTTTTGTAGGGCCTGAAGACATGGTTCAAACCTGAGGCACCAGGTATGTGACAGAGCCCATGTCCTGGTTGTGTTGAAGGTTTTTTATGATTCTCTGACAGTTGTATGTTTTATTTTTGATACATTTTAGAAATGTATATATTTTTATTTACTTAAAGTTGGGTGCTACCCAGAGTCACGCATATGATGGGAAACCGTATAAACCAAATAAATAATTGGGTTATGAAAATTTTGAGAAAAGGTGAAAAGAATAAAGACCCTAAAATAAACCCTCACCATTTTATTCGTGTCTGTTCCAAATTCCACTCAGTTCTATGTGTTTACTATCAGCAAACAGATTTTGGGTGGCAGCTGAAAAACCTACAGACAATTTTCTTTTAGGAACCTTCATTTCTCAGGCAAAAGACAGATTAAGTAATAACAACATGAGGTCAAAGGTTAAGTTCAGCAAGAGCTGTTTCTTATGCCTAAGATATCATATGATCAATTCTGCAAAGCCACCAGATTCACACTCACCATAGGGTGCCCTTCCAGCTAGAGGGTTTATTAATGGAGTTGGATTTCCACTTCCTTCCCTTCTATTTCTGTCTGCTAGTGCTGGAAAATCTGAAAGATCCAGTCCAGTAACATTTTCACTGCCATCTAAAAGAAAATACATGTTGTTTTCAAGTTTATAAACATCCAATAATATATTTGTAGAACCATGCATACATATCATAAACAGACAATTCTGTAGAAACTTAATGATAATTATATTCCATTTCTTCCAAGTTACGATACTTGTAGCTTGGGAGAAAGAAGGGGTAAAGGAGAGAGAAGGAAAGGATAAGTAGTGTTTTAGCCCTCTAAAACAAGCTTGAAAGGTGACTATTGCCTTCTGTGTAAGCAGGTGAACAGAAAAGATGCACATGATATGGAAAACAGGAGAGTTCAAATATGCTTATATCTGCTAGAAATCTATCTATGCCAAGAATCAGAGGTCCAACAAATCCCTGTCCTATCTTGCTGCCAACTTCACCTGTCAGAAGATGGTATAAAGAACAAAGGGGTATGATATCCCAGACATAATCCTTACCAACAGGGAGGAATTGAAGAAGTGAAGGTGACAGGAACTTTGAGAGAAAATGGCCATGTTATCGTTGAGTTCATGATATCAAGGGGAGGAGGAATAGAGAAGAGTCAGACTTGTATACTGGATTTCTTGAATTCAGACGGAAGGTAGGAGGGATCAGGCTTGAAATTCTGAGGAGAAAAGTGTCTGGAAAGAATGGGAAATCCTACTAAACAAGATACCGAAGGCACAATTACAAACAATTTGTACCAGAAGGAAAAACTGAAGACATCTTAAGAGAACATGTGGATACATTTATACTTTCTAAATGTTGAAAAGAAAAAGGGATATGGATAGAAAGTGGAAGGGATGGCAGTAAGGAAGGATACAAGGCAGTCACCAGAAACTGTAGGGAATGTGACAGAAAGGCTAAAGTGCAGAATGAATTGAGGCTTCAAACAACAAAAAGGGAATGGGTTATACATCGGAAACAAAAAGGCAAAGTTAGGTCTGCTGTAAGCAGAAAGAGATAAATTGGTGATGGATGATGGAGAGAAGGCAGAACATCTTAGCTCATATTTTGTATGTGTCTTCTTTCAGAAGGGAAATTAGGCCTTCATTATGTCCATATTAGATTGGAGTGTAGTATCAAATAGGCTCTGTGCTGGACAATGTGCTTTTCAACATTTTTTAATAATGACCTAGATGAAATTGAGGGAATGATGATCAAAATTTTAGATATCACAAAACTAGGAGGAATGGCTAATACTTCAGAAGAGAAAGAGAAGATCTAAACAGGTTTGAACACTGGATAAGAAATAAACAGGATGAAATTTAACAGGAAGAAATGTAAAAACTTGCATCTGAGAAAGGCACAAAAATGTAAGATGGGAAAGTTTCATGTGAAAAAGACCTAATAGATATATTACATAAGCTAGCTGTGTGATGAAGTGTGGCTGAAAAGGTAAATGCTATTTTGGAATGTATTAACAAGAGCATGTAGTCCAGATCAGGAGAAGTACACTATTGTATTTTGCGCAGTTCTGGGCATCACAGTTTTTTAAAAAAGACTGATATATGGGAGTGCATCAGAGGACACTAAGATGATGAAAGCACCAAGCCCTGTGAGGAACAGTTAAAAAAACTGTGCATGTTTAGCCCACAGAAGGGAAGACTGAAGTATATAATAACAGTCTTCAGGTTCCTAAAGAGGAAATCTGTTATCCCATATTCAGACAGGATCTGAATCAATGACTTGAAAGTACTGAAAAGGAGAGTCAGATTAAATATTACGAGAAATTCCCTGGCAGTAAGAACTGTGAACCAGTGGAATAGTTGTCCCAATAAGTTGTATGTTCTCCTCGCTGGAGGCAGGATAAGCATCTGTCTGAAATGCTTTAGCAGATCCTGCTCTAAGCAGGCGTAGGAATAAATGACCTCAATTATCCTTTCCAAATCTATGAAAACCAACAAATAGTTGTAATCCCAAAACTACAAGATATACACTCTAGGCCTCTCTGTTCCTGACTAGTGTGAGAATATTTACTGGCTGGGAATAAGCAGACACTTTTTTTGCTTAAATTGTAGATTTTAATTGTAATTTGAATTTGCTTTTGGTTTTATTATTGTATACTGCCCAGTAACATAATCAAATGAGCTATATAGGTATCTAATAAATAAATCTAAAAAGCCTGTGATTCCAGCACTGTTACATTCTACTTCTTTCAGTTTTGCAGATACTGAACATCTATGACCACATATGAATTAGTGGATTTGGTTCATAATTAAAACTGGAGGGCAAAGGACACAAGGGGCTTTGGAGAAACTGGGAGAATCTCCTCTTTCACTTATGAAAATGAAGTCTACTGAAGACCATGAACATCTATACAAATACTGGGAAAGGAACATAAAATACACACAAAATAAGCTACCAAATGAAACCCTAAAGAATGAAGATTTAAAATAGGCTTACCTGTTCCATTAAAAATATTACTTGATAAAGAATTATTCATTCCAAATGCCTGATTCCTGTTCATTCCAAATCCAGACATGCTAACATAAACAAAAACAGAAGAGTAAAGAAAGTTTACATATATCCTCTAAATAATCCTCTAAATAAATATAGATCACCTTATTTTGACCTGCAGGAGATGAAAAAATTATACAAAACTAGCATGTTATCCGTGTTGTCTGTTTTTTATATGTTCACGCCTTCTCAATGAATCAGTTTAAACATAACATAAAAGAATAGCTTGGCTTGATAATAGCGCCAACCAGCAATAAGTGGTGGTCATATGGTTGGAAGCAATTGCTTCTCATTTATGAATAAACACTCTGGCTAAAATAGGAAGTGAGTTACTGACTCCAAATGGAAATTAAATTCTTTTCTAAACTGGAAATAGGCTGATATGAACTCTTAATGACTATATCCCAAACACAGATAAGAGCCTGATGGAAGAGTCAGCCCATAAATATTAACCAGGAATTATAATCTCACCATTATGACCTCTTAACAGGACATAGCTACATATTGTTATGTTTAATGCACCAAAAGATGCAAAGAAATATAAACTGAATTGGATATAAAGCATTTAAAAATTAACACTGTGTATTCCAAGACCATTGTTTGAAACAAACTGTTAAAAAAAATATATTGGGCTGATACTGCTGATCTGTTACAAAACAGAATTGAAGGTAAAATGCAGCTCTGAAGATATGTAAAGCATGATCAGCCCCACAAGCCTTTAAGAATCAAAGAAATCCAAAACCTCTTCAGGAAGTTACAACAGTACATATCATCTTGTGTACCACAATCTTCACATGGTTTGCAAACAATGAAGATACTTCCTTAATGTCACATCTCATATAATTCATAAGCATAATGCTATTTCCACTTTGTCTTTCTTCCTGTTTCTCACTGTCACCAACTGTTTATTTTTTTCATTTAACCCTTTCTTTTTTATATAAAAAAACAATTCAAGAGGAATATACCACTGGTTTACTTGTACCACCTTTCTTGTCATTCATAACAGATCAGATGCAACACAAATATTAATTTAATTACTTTAATTGAAAATGGATCTCCAACTGGTAAGTTCACAACTTACTAGAGACTCTCGGTAAAAGTATTAAGAAACAAGAGTAACTCTAACACCATTCACCTATTTCTTAGAAACATTGTATTTGATACAGATATTTTCCTAAACAAATGTTAATAGTTGCTATTTTCAGTCAACAAGTAACAAAGATTGATATACTGAGTCAATATAAGGCAGGAAAAACCTGCCTTTTACTTAAGGGATTTAAAAGAAGAAAAATTAAGATTATGAATTCCTATATAATATTTGCTTTTTCCCCCCACAATGTTTTAAGCTCGGATTGGAAAAAAAAAATAGAGAACCTAATCCAAAACAGGCTTCAAAAGTCACATATGACATAGCAAAAAAAAAAACTGGAAAGAAGATTAGTTTGTAAAACATGAGGACTTTGCTCAGAACTAAAGATATATCATTCCAGTGATGAAACAACCATAGCAAAATACAATCTACCTGCCTGCTGTAAATCTTGAAATATGCTCCACTTCTTTATCAGAAACGTAGTGTGCATAGGAATGAAAAGGGAAGCTCTTTGTGTGATTGAATGCCCCTCATATAACATGGGATATACTTATCTTACCTGTTCACAGTAAAAGGTTGTCGAGAGGGTTGTTGCTTTGGCATACAGATTATGCTGGGTGAACTTCGATTAGGACTGCCTAAACCTGAACTGCTCATGCTGTTTGTCCTGCTGGGAATTCCAATGCCCTGACCAACCTGAGAGTGGTTCATCATATTTCTAGGATTCATAGGCAATATACCCCTGAAAAATATGATACAACAATAACAAGTATGTCAGCATATCATTATTTTCACTTTGTCCAAGCCAATTTGTTTCTAAGTGGACATTTTATATATACATGAAATGAGTTATTTTATAATGAAGACCACCAGTTGTCCATCTTTTTCATTGGTATCATTCAATTGTGTGAATTTCAGATTCACACAATTCCCAAGTTCAATTAGGCTCGTATATTTTTTAAAAAAATTAGTGCTCAAGATTCTTATGTTCCAGGAAAGCTCAATACTGACTTGGAAAAACCAGTATGGGCTTAATAGGCTAATACTGCAGTTCCCAGATTGTGCCCTATGGTGCCCCAGGATGCTGCAGCAAACTCACGGGGGTATTTTATTACTTAATAAATAGAACTGTTAATAAGTTCACTGCAGGGCCCAAAGCTTCTGGTAAGGAACTGCCAGGGCCGCTGAAATTCAAAAAAGTCTGAGAACCCCTAGGCTAATGCACAAAATTACAATTCCTACTTGAATTTGGAATCCTGAGGAATCAGAGAATATCAAGTAATGCCAGCAATAACACTTTTGTTTGCTATATAAAATGTATTTTACTTATTAAATTTATATAGCTGCTCACTCACCAAGCAACTATTCTATCAATGCTGAAAGATTTTCCTAAAAGATATTCACCTATCTACCTCAACAGAATGTATACATTATTTTCTGTAGTAGAACCAATACTGCATTAGAAGTTTTTGCCCTACAACGTTCGCAAAGCAAAAGCTACAATCCAGGAAACAAACACCTGGTTCATTATTTCAAAAATATCTAGAATGCAAACTACTCCTAAGGAAATAAAACAGTATAATAGAAAATGTCCTGGAGAAGTATTTGTTATCAATAAATACCTGCTTGGAGATGGAGGCGTGTGAAGTGACATTGTTGGTACCCCTGTTGTTGGTGTTACGTGGCTTGGTAACTGAGTGCCTTGTGATAAGCTGCGATTTAACTGAGGGGTATTGTTACTTATCCCTCTCATTGGAAGGCCTAGTGCACCTATTGAAAAAAAAATCAGAAGAAGGGGAATGGAGAGAATTAAGGTATAATCTTATATGTTTGCTTTAACAATAAAATATCTTAATAAATATAAAAAAAAATAAACAAGCAGACCACCATTTTATGAAAACAGATTTTAAATTCACTGTTTTCTATTTCCAAACTTTATTTTTTATTAAATGAAAGGATTTTCGAGTAGGAGAATTATGGATTAAATATGTAGTTTAGTGTTTTTTTTCCTCAGAAACACTTGAGAATCAAAAATATTTTTTAAAAATAAACAAATCCAAGCTAAATAGTTTCTATGTCTGGAGGAATTCCCTAAACGTCTTAGTCAATAATCTACTTCATATAGTTTAAATATTGTTTAATTAATTGTTGATTATCAATTATCAACAATCAATTGCTAAAGATAAGGATAGTTTGCAGAGTACAACACAAGTTTGCATTTCCAACATTTATTAGTAGATATGACACTTACACTCCAATAACAGTCACAGCTGAAATCTATGCCAACTTACTAAACAATGACAGTAGACTTGCATCAAATGTATTATTTTGTACTATTAATTAATTCAATGGTGTCCATCTGCAAGTGGAATGGATATTGCTGGCATAATGGTTTTTTTCTATTTTCCCCTTAAAATAATTCTTCAGGGAGCTTCTGGAGAGGGGAAAGGCAATGGGAGTTATAAGATGGGAAGAAACAAAGAGAAAGGAAGAGAAACAGATGTGAAATTCCTCTTCCCCTATGTTCTCCTAAGTAATATGAGTAGGACAGTGCTGTGTTTTGGTCACAAATATAAGCATTTAGTTTTGATGCAAGCTATGTTTTAAAATCTCAATTTACAAAGGCCAAATGAAGATTTCCTGGTGGGATCTGAGATTTAGTAGCTTATGTATCATATAGTCTGCTTTTTTGGAGACAGAAAAATAATAGACAAGGCAATATACATTTGTGATCCAAAACTACATTTGAATTTATGTAACAAATCAAACTATTCATATTAATCAAAAGTTACAGAAATATATAAATTGCTTTCTTAAAATATTTAAAAACATATTCCTTCTTTCAGTTTTTTATATATTAAATATATGAAAGATGTCTATTTATGTTCACGGATGTGCACCCTTGAGTGTAAGACAGAAAGAAGATCACATGAAAATACTATAGACAATAGTAAATAAAAACATCTAATATATTGCTCATCCTAATATAAGCAATTCTTTTGTAACAGGACAAAGAATTTAGAACTGGACTTCAAAAACATATTTCAAAAACCGGTTTATGCAGAATAAGCAATTTAAAAAAGAATGACTTTTTATGCTCTATTTTAAGTCAACTATAAAGTACTATTTAAGGTAACACTATAGATATTTATACCAATACAAGCCAGCATACAACAAAGCTAAATAAGATGAAATGTTATTTAAGGACTAAAGCTATCACTATTTGTCTTGAAATTTTAATATACATATACATACACACACACACATATACATGTGTGTGTGTGTGTGTTAGTTATTTGGTATAATGAAAAATGTTATGCATATTACCTTCTCTATAAATGAGAAGAGAACACTGCCAACACTGTCTAAACCAGAGGTTCCCAACCTTTTGGGCACCAGGGACCGGTTACGTATGGAGAGGTTTTTCCATGGAGTGGAGGGGGTGTGGTTTTGTGTGCTGACTGCATCCCATGGATGGGGCTTTGCTTCTTTGTGCAGCCCGGTTGCTGGTGTGCTGTGGCCCGGTACCAGTCCACGGACCAGGGGTTGGGGATCCCTGGTCTAAAGGGGCAAATTCATTCATCTGTATCTGAGAGTTCAGCTCCCCAACAGCTTTGGATGTTAAGTTCAGCTGCTAGGGATATAATTATTCTTTGTTGTAAACAATTCTTAGAGCTATCACTTTAATAGTGTCAAAAATCATAATTTCCCCTTGAATGCTCTGACCAGACTTTCTATTCTCTGCTAGTCTTCCATGCAGTTCACAGGTCTGAGAGAAAAAGGCAATTTCTAAAATATATTACCATGCTCTCCTACACATGAATATGAACAAGAGAAACAAGGCATTCTGATGAGCCACTTAACTGGCATTTTGGAATTGTAAGGATTCCTAAAGCACCCTAGTCAAGAACTGCAATATAAACATACAAATAAGAAAACCTTCAGTTTCACAGTTCAATTAGAGAGCCATGTAGGATAGTTGCAGACTTAATAATGTACACAGAAATTCTTAAACAGAAGCAGAAGTAATTTAGGAGCAGTTTAAAATTTTCCCATATCTGGAAACATTTCTGAGCCATTTTATTATAAGGAAGGGGCCAGCAAAATAATACTGATGTTTTTTATTTAAAATCCAAGAGGATATTGTTCTTCCTGGAATATGATTCATGAATATTCTCTTTGAACTAATAAAAGTTTGCTATTCATTTATAGAAAAAAATGCTGCCAGATATAAGATTTTTTGTGAAATATTGACAACATAAACTGAAATAGCAAGTTAGATGAATTCTAAAACATAATCCAGTATTATTATTTATTCTCCAGTAACTTAAGTGATAAGAATCTAATATGAACAACTGAATGTTCTGTAGAAGTGCTAAAATTAAAAAAGCTATTTATGAATTGTTCATTTTTAATGCTCTCAATTGAAACAATGGCTTGCAAGCATATTATAGGAAAAAAGTTTGCATCATATTTTAAGATGCAGTTATGCTGAAATTATTAAGGATGTACAAAGCAATTAAAAGAGGTGTTTTGCAAAGCATGCTAACAAGAGCGAAACACCTGTCTTCAAAGCACAAAAGTAGTAGCGGTTTTTGGAACACTTCTGCATCTGCTCTGAAACTTGTTTCTAGTTGTCTGCATGTGTGCACACAAGAACAGTTCTGCTGACAAAGCAAAACAGCTGACTATGATACATATGTACAGATAACTGAAGACAGTTTTCAAAGCAGCTGTGCTGGACTTCCAAACACTATCTTTTTAAAATACTTTGAACAGCTTTAAAAACTGTATCAATAGAAAAAAGGCTACATTAAATGAATCTAATTTAAGGTAACTTACAAACACATACAACCATTGGCCTATTATAAAAATAGATTTCTTACTTTGTTGCCCATATAAACTTGCCCCAAACTGAGACAGCTGACCTGATGTTGATGGTGATGCCAGCATCTAAATTGGAAATCAAATGTAAAACAAATTAGTCAAGGATAAAATGTAGTGGTTATGAAATATTAAACACTTTAAAGATAAGCACTATAATTTGTTAAACATTGGTATTATGGTATTATGTGACAAGGAGGGACTTTTAAATTAAACCAAGGAGTATGGTAGCCATAAAAGCTGGGTGACCTCATTTTCTCTCAGTCCAACTCACTTCACAGGGTTGTTGTTGTGGGGAAAACAGGAGGAAGGAATGTTTGATATGTTTGCTGCCTTGAGTTATTTGTAAAAATAATAAAGGTAGGATACAAATAAATAAAATAAAATCTCTTATTATTAAATGGAATTTTGTTCATTATATGCCCACTGCTGTGAAAGAAACTGCAGTTTGTTCTGTCCTTGGGGTTCCCTGGACATTCAGGATGTGAACAACTAGTATCCTGTTATAAATATCACTTTCTTGAGCAAAGTAATAGAAAGAATGATGGCCAGCCAGCTACATATGCACTCAGAGAAAGCCTATTATAATTTCAGTTTGGCTTCAGGCCTCAAATCATCAGTTCAAGTAACTGAAGAAATTTAATACAGGTAGTCCTCGATTTACGAGTTTATTTAGTGACTGTTCAAGGTTACAACAGCACTAAAAATGTGTCTTATGACCATTTTTCACACTTACAACCATTGCAGCAATCCCCATGGTTCATGTGATCAAAATTCAGGTGCCTACCAACTGATTCATATTTATGGCAGCTGCAGTGTTTCATGTGTTCCCCTTTTATGACTTTCTGACAAGCAAAGTCAATGGGGAAGCAACAACCCTAACTTAACAACTGCAGTGATTCACTTAACAACTGTGACAAGAAATGTCATAAAATGAGGAAAAATTCACTTGACAAAGGTTTAGCTTAGCACAAAAATTTGGGGCTCAATTATTGTCTTAAGTCAAGGACTACTTGTACTGTAAAAAATCCTTAGATACCCAAACTGATTAATTTTACACACAGATAATACAAGTGCTACCTTTAGATGTTTTAGATATCTTAAGTTGAATTTTGTACTATTGCCAATTGTTACTTGCTAAAGTGGGACAGCAGGAAAGGAAATCGAGATGTTGTTTGCAGTCCTATTTGTAGGACTACCACTGGAGAACATTTGACTCAAAACTCCATCCCCCTTCTTCCTTGTATCTATACAAAGCCACTGAGGAAAGTTATCCAGTAACTGAGAACATAGTATCTTCAGTAATACAACCATGCTATATTTTTACAAATTTGCAGAGTGCTCTGCTGTTATAAGAGTAAAAGCAGTAACTATGGCACTTAGCAATAGCACTTAGACTTATATATTGCTTCACAGTGCTTTACAGCCTTCTCTAAGCAGTTTACAGAGTCAGCATATTGCCCCCAACAATCTGGGCCCTCATTTACAGACCATTTTACTGAAGGAAGGAAAACCTGGAGCTGGTCAGAATCATACTCCTGGCAGTAGCAGAGTCAGCCTGCAATAATGCATTCTAACTACTGCGCCACCATTCTGTAAAGTGTGTGGTATAGTAAAAGTAATTGTGTTTGTTTGTCTATGTGTGGGGTGTAATTCTGTATATTACAAAAACCTACTCTCATTAAGCCTAAACTTTAAAATGAAATATAATATGCACAAAAAACTTACATCTTTTTCTGATCGATGTGGGAACATCGATGACTGGCTGTAGTACATATTTTCATCATGGTAGTCACTGTCGACCCCCTCTACAAACTTCTTTCTTGAAGCACCAAACATGCTGTTTGTCACCTAGATGATAATATACAGCATTGTTTCCTTTAATTATTTATAGAATAAAAAACCCTAGGTATTCAAGTTGCATAGATTATATTTGTATACATTTAGGCACCTTTGGTCTGACGTAATGTATTTCTGTATGTCTTAACATTATAGGAACAAACTTTCAGTTTTTGAACTCTGTAACAGTGTAACACCCACAAGGTCTTGTTTTATGTTCAACTAATCAGATTTGCTCATTTCACCTCTCTAGGTAACTATCGTATCTACTTTGCTGATGAGTAATGGAGAGATGTGTGCAAAATTTTGCCCAGTTTACCAAGAAGGCTATACGTTAATATATACATCTCTGTAGTACCACAATCAGAAAAACCAAGTCATGGAGCCAAGCCTACAGTAGGATGGCTCCTTTTGTGCCTAGCCACTACGACATTGAGTTTAATTGAAGGTATTGTCCCTTAACTTCCATTTTATAGAAAACCATATCCCATCTTCCTCCAACGCATTTAACTAATGTTCTCACTTTATGATTACCACATCCCACTGCACAAATGTAATTATTGCTTACAAAAGGAAATGCTTAAAACCACAGGGATTATCTTCTCCTTTATTCTAACTGGCCAAAGTAATGAGAGGAGAAATCTTTAATGGCAGGGATGAAAATCAGAAACAACTAAAGTACTGTCCTGTATATATTAAGCCAGAGGGAACATTCTGTAACAGGTAACTCTTTCCTATTGCTTGTAATTTGGGAACTATCACAACTAATGCCAAGGTAGGAAAAAGTATATGATATTTTATTCAGATATCTGAATTAAAAACAAGCTGCAACTGCTCTCATGTATTCAGCCTTGATACATAGAATCCCATTTCCACTCTATCTAATTTATTAGATTTACTACCCACCTTCCTTCAGAAATTCAAGACATCATATAGTGCTCCGTTCTCCAATTTCCCCCCCAGCGCAATTCCTATTAGTAGGTTGGATTGAGACATAATAACTAGCTCACACACATTCACTCAGTTTCTTTGGCTGAGGGTACACTTCAACCAAGGCCTCTTCAGTGGCAATTTAATATTTTCATCAATAGAACACAATAGCACTTTATGACAGCAGATTGAAACCTATGGCTTAGCCGTCAGTCGAGCCCATCACTTTGTCTAACCATTAAGACTGCTGAGACCAGTAATTCTTAAAACAAAGAATGCCACATTATGTTAATTCCAGGTATGAAGTCAGAAATATTACAGATATTATTGAACCAGCTTTTATGAGTTGATTGAGTAATTTATTTATCTATCTTTTTACAATCTATAATGTGTACAAGATTCTTATATGACAAATGGATATTTTCAATTAGTGGCAGAAAAAAAAATACATTTTTACCATAAAAGTAACTAGACTTACATCTGCAAACAGAATTAAACCTGGATCATGTTTCTAAGAAAACGTATGGATTGTGAATCGAATGCACAATGTAAAAAAGTTTATCTCTTTTACCTTACACACCTGAATAATATATAAAGAATGCAATTAGTGGGCCCAAAATTGTAATTTAATATATGTACAGTGAAGAAAAAATTATTTGATCCCCTACTGATTTTGTACGTTTGCCCACTAACAAAGAAATGATCAGTCTATAATTTTAATGGTAGGTTTATTTTAACAGTGAGAGACAGAATAACAAAAAAAAAAAATCCAGAAAAACGCATTTCAAAAAAGTTATAAATTGATTTGCATTTTAATGAGTGAAATAAGTATTTTACCCCTTTGCAAAACATGACTTAGTACTTGATGGCAAAACCCTTGTTGGCAATCACAGAGGTCAGATGTTTCTTGTAGTTGGTCACCAGGTTTGCACACATCTCAGGAGGGATTTTGTCCCACTCCTCTTTGCAGATCCTCTCCAAGTCATTAAGGTTTCGAGGCTGATGTTTGGCAGCTCAAACCTTCAGCTCCCTCCACAGATTTTCTATGGGATTAAGGTCTGGAGACGGGGCGTTGTCTTACCTGAACGCCTTTTCTCAGCATGACGATGGAGAATCCACCAATGGTTTAGCTTCGTCTTCTGCCCGGATAGACTAAGTCAGCCAAGTTGCCCCACCTACCTCCCTGGAGCAGGACCCCAGTCTCGACTGAGGCGCAGCTGTTGGCTATGATTCAAGTGTGTTGGCTCAATTATTTCTGATACAGGACCTGACAGGCCCTACGGGTGGGAGTGGATTCTCCATCATCATGCTGAGAAAAGGCGTTCAGGTAAGACAACGCCCCTTCTCCAGCATGACAAGTAGAGAATCCACCAATGAGACGTACCAAAGCCTCACTGTCCCTGTGGGTGGGAAGCAGTCTGGGCCTGTGTCCCACTCTTTGATACTACGCATTGGAGGACCCTCCTGCCAAATGAGGCCTCCGTCGATGCGAACTTATCTAACTTATAGTGTCTTACAAAAGGGGAAAGCGACACCCACGTCACCGCCCTACATATTTCTTCAATTGGCGCCTGAGTCGCCCACGCTGCTGATGTTGCAGCACTGCGAGTGGAATGGGCAGTGATTTGATTAGGGATTGGGAGTGATTGCCTCTGGTATGCTCCTGCTATGCAATTCCTGATCCATCTGCCGATTGTGGATGCCGTGACCCTTCAACCCCTTGAGTGAGACTGGAAGGATACGAACAGGGCCTCAGACTTGCGGAAGGGTGCAGTTCGCTTTATGTAATGCCTTAAGGCCATGCGAACGTCTAAAGTTTGCCATTTGCATTCCAATTCATGGGAAGGCTGAGGGCAAAAATCTGGTAGCACCACCTCCTGCATCCTGTGAAACAAGGAATTGACCTTGGGAATGAAGGAGGAATCCAGTCATAGGATCACCCTATCTGCGTGGAAGATGCAGAGGTCTTCCCTAACTGATAGTGCTGCCAACTCTGAGATGCGTCTAGCCGAAGTTACAGCGACCAGAAATGTGACCTCAAGTGTCAGGTACTGTACTTGCCATCTGTGTGCGAAAAGGGCCAGCCTGCCACCAATGGGGGAGCTTTTCCCGTCACTTGGATTTACGAAAGGGGCGGCCCCCCGCTCCTCGAAAGAGCTGCTTCGACTGGAATTGCTGCCTATATCTGTCCCTGTTACCGGATCTGTCGACCTGTCTGTCTGATCTGGGCTGATAGGGGCGGGAAAAAGGAGGCTCTGGACCTGCTTCTGATCTGAAGAGTTGTCTGTGAACTTAAGTAGAGACTCTCCTCTCAGTCTTCCTTGAGAGGTGAGCCAGGACCTTGCGTTTGTCCTTGTTTTCTATTAGATAAGGGTTTAGGGCCTCACCAAAGAGTAGGCCACCCTTATAAGGCGCAGCAGCCAACCGCTACTTTGCCTTGATTTCAGCTCGCCATTGTCTGAGCCACAGTAATCTGCGTGCTGTGATGTTGGACGCTATTGCTCTAGCAGAGTAGTTTGCAGCGTGTAATGATGAATCTGCCATGAATTCAGCTGCTGCCACCAACCTCCTTAAATCATGGTGGGTTCTCTCCTCCTCTGGGGAAATCCTGGCCGGGAGTTGGTGCAGCCAAAGCAACGAAGTCCTAGTGAAAAAGGAGTTAGATATGGCTGCCCTGATCGCCCACGCTGAGGCCTGATGTGTTCTGCGAAAAGTCAGTTCCGCCTTCCTGTCTTTTGACTTCAGGGCCTCCGCCGCGTCCCCGGATACCGTGGAGGTTGAAAATAGAGCCACCAGTGGCTCATCTACTGCCGGGACCTCTATTACCTCTGATAAGGCAGGATCAATGTTGAACAGCTTCTTATCTGTCCCCCCCCATTGAAGGGAAAGGCCCTGGTGCCCCCCAATTTTTCTGAATTGTATTAAAAAAGAGGGGAGGGGATATATTGTTGTGTGTAGGTGGGTTCCAAAAACACCCTGCTGTTCGTGTCCTGACATGTAGAGGGTCTCTCCTGGGGGATCCTTGGCCTCTTAATCTTTGCCGTGCTGCTGGCCTTGTGGAGCAGGGATTTAAAGAGGGTCGGATTGAAAAGTCCTATGAACGGTGGGGGGTCTGGGGATATATCTTCATCCTCTGACAGCCCCTGATCCGTTTGCTCGTAGTCCCCCGTGGAGGACCTTCTGCTTCTGGAGGAGCGAGATGGTGAAATTGATCCCTGGTATGCCGTAGCTTCCTCTTGGAAAAGGTAGGATCGACCTCTTGAAACAACTGACCCAATTCTGGACTTGTGATGCATTGTAGAAGCAATGCCCTGCCTGACGGCCTGAGATATCAGGGACTATAAGTGTTCTGATGATAGGGCTCCCTGATTGTCTGTGGGGCGAAGCCCCTCCGCTGAATGTGTACCGGGTGCCCCTGGGCTCTCAGGCCCCTCGCTTAAGGGAATCTCTCTGTCTGTTCTGCCTTGGCCTCTGATTCCAGAGGTTCCTGAATAGACTGCAGCGGGCCAAATATCTCATCCTCTGTGTAAGCAGGGGGAACTAGTCCGTCTCCTGCTGTGTTTTGTCTCTTTTCGGCTCTAGAGAATTGTTTCTTCAGAGCCTGGTGTCTTCGTTTGGCCTCATCAGTGGCCTTGGAGGATCTTTTGCCTGATATGGCTTTGGCTTTGATCCTTCCCGCTGCTTCCTGATTGGAAGATCTTGGCCTCTTACGTCCAGGAGGACTAATGGAGGAGTCCTGTGCTGCTTGAGCAGCAATGGTATCTGCCATTTACACAAGAGATATCTCAGCGTAGGGACTGACAGGAATCTCGAGGTGAGAGGCCTGGTAATAGGTCGGCTTAGACCACAGAGCAATCTGGTAATGACTGGAAACAGTCCAAAGTGGTAAGGCCAATTAATGGTACAGCCACACCTCTGTGCTCCCTTAATCCAACACTCTGTTGTGTTGCTGGCAGTGGCAAGATCAAATTAATGATACGACCCGCACACAAACATTGGGCAGACAGCTCATGTTGTCGTGACTCTTCCTCTTCTCTGTCTTCCTCCTTTTTTTATTCCTTTAAAAACGTGGTAATTGAAAC